AAAATAATTATACACATTACACGCACATATATTATGTAAACACAAACTTTTATTTTGGATGTGATTAATCACGATCAAACTAAATTTTACTTTTTTAATTTCAATTTTAAATTTAATTTAAAATGCTTTTTGTCCCAAAACTCTTAAAATCATAAAATAAAAGAAACTTGAAATTCATTAAATATTTTAAAAACAGAAAAAAAGAGTCTCATAAAATATTTTCATTTAAATAAAATAAAATAAAAATTCATAAAATAAATAAAACTTGAAAATTATCTTAAAAATAGTGTCAAATCATTTTTTTTTTCATTTAATTTTAAATAAACTTCTTTTTGTAGCAAAACTCTAAAATCATAAAATGAATGAAATGAGAGAAATAGGATTCACATTTTAAATAAAATATACTGTATATGTTTTGCCCTACAACAATAACATCCCGAAATGAATAAAACTGGGAAAAACGATTAAATATCTTTAAAACATAGAAAATAGGAAAACATTAGTGCAGGTTCCACTTCTTCCACCAATCTGAATGTATTACCTGAATCAACGACAAAGCGCACTCCATCTATAGTGACCGAGGTCTCAGCAATATTGGTAGAAATGATGCATTTTCTCACACCCGGGGGGGAAATGTCAAACACCTGAGGGTCACAGTTCATCGAGAAATTACTTCAAGCTAATATACTGACATATTTTTTTATATGTACACTATGGTTAATAAAAAGTTTGGGGTAGGTATGTTTTTGAAAGACTTTGCTCGTTCGCTCAGCAAGGCTCTTTTCATATTTGAGCAAAAATACACAAAATAAAACAGTAACATGATTACAATTTAAACATAATTGTTTTCTATATTAATATATTTTAAAATGTAATTTATTCCTGTGATGTTACAGCATCATTACTCCAGTCTTCAGTGTCACATGATCCTTCAGAAATCATTCTAATAATGCTGATTTGCTGCTCAAGACACATTTCTGATTATCTTATTTTTGTGGAAACCTTGATACATTTATTTTCAGGATACGTTGATGAATAGAAAGTTAAAAGAATATCATTTCTTAAAAAAAAAAGATTACTTTTTTTACTGTCACTTTTGATCAATCCTTGCTGAATAAAACTAATAATTTTGAATGGTAGTCTATAGCTAAATAAATAGGCTAATAATTTTCCAACTAATAAAAAGAAGCAGAAATCACAATCAGAGTTTTATAGCGATGTATAAAGAACATGATGTATGACAGTGTTGGGTCTGTCCTGAATAAACCTTATCCTGCTGAGCCAATGAGAGCGTGCTGTGCAGAGGGAGGACGATCCAGCGCTGTGTGTGCGTGGCGTACGCCTGGCAGGCCTCCTGGATGGTGGAAATCTCAGCCACTCCGCTGAGGAACAGCAGCAGGTCGCCTCTCTCCTCCGGGGGGTAGCGCTGGTCAATGCCCTGCAGCACACGCAGGTACGGCCGCGGGTCCAGCTTCTCAGAGCGGGACGCCTGCTCTTCTGAAGGAATGGGCTGGTAGATCACCTACAGCACAGGAGAAATTTGTATATATTTCTTGCCATAAATCAATAAAATTCATACAATAAATGAATCTTGAAAATGATTAAATATTTTAAAAACAGAAAATAGGGTCTAATACATTTTTTGATTTCATTTACATTTTAAATAAATTACTTTTTGTCCTAAATAAAACTCTAATATCATAAAATAAGTTAAACCTGTAAATGATTGAATATATAAAAAATAAATATACAAAATAGGGTCTAATACATTTAATTAATTCGAAAACTCTAAAATCATAAAATGAATGAAACTGTAAAATGATTAAATATTTTAAAAACAGAAAATAGGGTCTAATACCTTTTATATTGATTTAATTTAAATTCTAAATAAATATTTTTTGTCCTAAAACATACTTGTATGCATTTAAAAACATACATTATGGTCTCAACATTTTTTGATGATTTTATTAAAATTTTAAATAAAATACTTTTTGTTCTAAAACTCTAATATCATAAAAGGAATTGAACTTGTAAATGATTAAATATATAAAAAATAAAATAGAAAATAGGGTCTTGTTGATTTAATTTTAATTAATTCTAAAACTCTAAAATCATAAACTGTAAAATTATAGGATCATAACCTTTTTCGATTTTATTAAGATTTTAAATAAAATGTATATATTTTTGCCCTAAAACGATAAAATCAAGAAATGAATGAAACTGTAAAATGATTAAATATTTTTTTTAAAAAGAGAAAAACGAATCATAACATTTTTTTTTATTTAATTTTAAATAAAATATATATTTTTTGCCCTAAAACAATAAAATCAAGAAATTAATGAAACTGAACAATTATTAAATATTTTAAAAACATCATTAGCGCAGGTTCCACTTCAAAAACACACTGTATTTTAACAGCTCACCTGAATGGGGAAGAGTCTGCCTGGCACCTGCAGAACTGGTGCGTCGCTGAAGTAGCTGGAGAAGAGTTTGATGTTGATGGTGGCCGACATGAGGACCAGCCGCAGGTCTGTGCGCAGGGCCAGGAGGGAACGCAGCACTCCCAGCAGGAAATCGCAATGCAGGTGTCTCTCGTGCACCTCGTCCACGATCAGCACCTGGTACTGGCCCAGGGAAGCGTCCTGCTGGATCTGCCGGAGCAGGAGACCCTCGGTCATGAACAGGAGTTTGGTCGCTGTGGTGCGGCTGGTCTCAAAGCGGATCTGGTACCCAACCTGGAGAACATGCAAGACAAAAATGTTTTTGCAATCCATTCTTTAACTCACAACGTTCGCATTTTGCATACATTTTCTTCCTTCTTGTCATGCATTGTGAGGCATTCTTAGACTTTGAAAGTTACAATATATATATATATATATATATATATATATAATTATAATAGTAATAGTAATAACAATAATGTTACAATTATTTACAGAATCACAATGAAAAAAGAAATGGAAGTAGTTACCAGTATATACTTATATATACTGTATATACATATATATATTAACTACTTCAATTTTTTTTGTATTGTGATGCTAATGATTATATATCTGCAATTTATAATCGAAATGCAATCGAAATTATTCAACCCCCATTGTAAATTAGGTTTATTGACATAATTTACTTTCAGCTGTTTGTAATTAACTAGTCAGACAAAAGAAACTTAAATATTTCAACTGGCTTCCCCAAATTCAATGAATTTTTCAAAACCCTGAATAAAATTCCCTCACAACAGCACACATCTGCAAAACAGGTGTTGTCTCAAGCGCACATGGTGCAAAAAATCAAGGGCTTCATTAGTAGCACCAGGTGTGCTTGAGCTAGAACACGTTTCACATGTGCAGCCGTGTGTGTTGCATTTCAGTCACATTTTGATCCCAAACTCTTATTTCCATGCTAAAAAAAGTCATTTTTCTCACAGTATAAAAAATCCTCCTGATCAAGCATAACTGTTTTTGATTTATTTAAAAGTCTTACAGATAAATAATAATATGTCTAATTATGTTGCGAAACATCTTTGTACCTTGGAGCCGTACTGGTTAAGGCTCTCAAAGCTGACTCTCTTGGCCAGTGAGATGCAGGCGATGCGGCGCGGTTGAGTACAAGCGATGTGGTTGAACCCTGAAGCCATCAGATACTGGGGCACCTGTGTGGACTTCCCACACCCCGTGTCTCCAGCCACCACCACCACAGGATGAGTCCTCACCATCTCCACTATCCTGTCTCGGTACTGGAAGATGGGAAGGCTCTTCTGCTCCCTCCTTAACTTGGAGAGCTTGTTGAAGCTCTGCTTCTGGTTGAAATCGAGGAAATGGAGAAGGGCGAGACGGCACTCTGCGATCTCCTGTCTGCCGGGACCCGAGCTCTCCCTGCGCCTCCTGTGCTCAGATACTCCCAGGCGCTCCTCGATGTCCTTGGAGCACACGGAGATGTTGATCCTATATCGGGCATCATACTCCTTTGGAAGCCCTAGATCCACAGATCCAGACTTCTTTCTGGCTTTTCCATCGTGTGATTCTTGCCCGCTGGATTTGGATGCTGATATCTCTTTCTTGGTTTTGAATCTCTGGAAGCGCTCGAAGAAGGTCCAGAACTCCTTGTGTTCAGTTCTGCCCGTCTGGATGTAGTCATGCTGGCGGAAAAACACCTCGTCCAGCTGGGCTCGACACTGAGGACTGTCCCAGTCCCAGCTCTTCTCTCGCTCATGGGACATTTTTAATATTAGTGTAAACCAAACATCCCCTTTTCAGGAGGCTTTTCAACTATTCAAATACTCATACATGTCTCTATTAACTTCACATTATCATTGATAATATTTGTCGTGATTATTATAGTCCCCTCAGATATTATAAAGCACATACGTAAGATCCATTTTTGTTACGTTTACGCTTCTCGAAACGGAGCAACACCGGAGAGATAACTTGAAGGGACCGTTTCTGGTACGCCTGTGTTTACAGTCCGGATAGTGCGAAACACCAGTAAATAGTTCCTACATCAATAGATCAGAAGCGTGCGTGTTGAATAATTCTCTTTTAATCTAAAACGATTTGAAAACACTGTTTTTGTATTCATGTATAATTATACATGCAGTTTTAAGACCTGAAAGACTGCGAAATTGGATCACACTGCAGAAGCATTTAAATAAACTGGGGGGAAACATAATATAAAGGTAATGAAATGGGGAAACATAATATAAAGGTAATGAAATGGTTGACAGTTGCAGTTTCTGCATTTGAAGTAACTGTATATAAAAGTGTATAACAAATGTGTCAATTCATGGGTAGTTCAGTAATTCGCTGTTAAACACCACTTGTCAAAGATACACACAGTATGTACTATCAATCATCTTCATTTAAAGTTATCATTAAAAAAACTCACTGAAATTTGTAATTGTGGAACACGACTGTTGCTCTTATAGTGAATGTTTTACACATATTTCACACTGTATTAACCAGATACACATTTTATTTGTAAATCGTTGCTATATGGTTAAATCATGTTTCATGAAACAAACTTTCAATTTTATTTTTAAAGTGTTAAATGTAATCCCTGAATAAAGTTAAAAGCACTCAAGATCCAGAACTCCAGAAGTGTTTCCATAAGTATCTCAAACTTAAGTCACATTACATTACATTTTGCACAAGTCATAAAAAGCATGACGTTCACATTTAAGTATGGGAGTGTGTCTCCAGAAACTAAGAAAACTAAAGGTACAGAGGCAAACAACTAAATCATTCACAATCCAAAAATAAAAGCTTCAATTCAAGAATGTAAGTACTAAAAACCACAAAATCTCTAAAAGGAGAAAATAAGACATTTATTTACACATCTTAAGACCGAATAAAAACCCCTTAACCACTCGCCTCATAAAATATACAAATATATATAAAACAATTTTAAAAAATGCAAAAACAGGTCAACATGTCCATCCCTCTGTTTACCCAGGCATTTACAGGGCTACAACAGTTCATAAAATTTCTCAGTTCATCATAATCTCCAGGCAAGTTATACTCCCGTCTTCTCCTTGATCCAGCCCCTGAATTTTGGGACATATGTGTAGATGCCTGGCTTGTTTTTGCGGGCACAACCGTCACCCCAGCTCACAACTCCCGCAAGGTACATACGGTCATCCGATAAGAAGGCCAGAGGACCGCCAGAGTCGCCCTGAGCAAAGATAAAGATAGTTATTTAAATGGATAATTATAACAGGAGAGAGAGAAAATAAAACAAAGATGAATAATTAAATAAAATGGCATTAATGCATGCACAATATTAAAATTCTGGCCGATACCAAAAAGATGATAAATGGCTGGTGATAAAATTTCTAAATGATTTTGTCTAAATTGTGTTTGATTATAATTTAACATTAAGCCAGCTACCATGGCTATATTCGTGGTGATAAACAAGTTGAAAATAATATATATATATATATATATATATATATATATATAAACACCAAATCAAAACCAATTTTATAAAAGGTTTTTAAAGTTTATAATTGATGAAAATAAATCCCCCATATCACGCATTCTTAATTAAATAATTCAATAAATGAGTTGAGATGCAAAAGCCTCTAAGTGTCATTTGAAATTTTATTCTAGAATGATCATTTTTATCAAGCTTGTATGTTTAAGTTCAGTGATTTCACTTAAATGGCAATGATAATTACCTATTAATTGTTATTTAAGTGAAATTACTGAACTTAAATATACAAGTTTGATAAAAATCATCATTAAAGAAGACAATTTCAAATGGCATTTAGAGGCTTTTGAATCTGAACTCTTCAAATATAAATAAAAATATACATGCTTTACAGGGAAAATCCTGCTAAAGCACTAAAATTTCAAGATTTTTTAAAAAGTTCATGAAACTTACCTGACAAGCATCCACTCCTCCAGTCAGAATGCCAGCACACATCATGCGAGAAGTGATCTGACCATTCATAAGCTTTTCACACGTCGTACCATTGACGATGCGAACCCGCGCTTTCTGCAGCACAGTCGCTCCAGCGCCTGAATTAAACACACGACAATTAAAAAAAAATAAAAAAAATCAAAGACAAGCACGAAGTTTAAAAAGATACAAATTTTTAATTTGTGAAATATATAACAGGCTTTATATAGTTCTTTTACTGACCCCCTTCTCTAGTGGCACCCCAACCGGTGATAGTGACAGAGTCACCAGAGCCGAAGACATCGGTGGCACTCGGCAAGCAAATGGGTCGAATGGTGTCACTGTAGGTCACGTCTGCGTCCAACTCCATGAGAGCGATGTCATAGTCATAGGTGTAGGAGTTGTAGGACGGGTGAGGAATGATTTGTTTTAGCAATCTCTTCGTTGCCGCCTGTTTGTCTTTTTGTGTGTGAAGACCCAAGTATGCTTCCCATGTGCCCGGTTGAGAATACCTGAAGATTCAACAGATATACAGAGATTAAGGTTTTCTCTTTTCCGCTCCTAAAACCAATTTAATTGATAAATAAAGTATATGCATTATATTAAAGCTACAATATTTAACTTTGTTAAAAAAAACACCAATATGTTATTCAAGTCAGCACAAAATGGAAGTTGTGATAGTCTTTTTTTTCCCTATTGTGAGATATATCCAAGTGAATCAGCATCTCAAACAATAATACATTAAGGGGAGGACTTGATATTGTCCATGGGGAATTGATTGCATGGATGTGTTTTGCTATTGGTCAATCTCATGTGATTGACAGGTTGTCCTGCCATCACGTCAGTAAACACTCAACAGAGAAGAGAAGCCGCTGCAAGAGGGAGGGGAAGTTATTTTGATTAACGGGGTGATGAACTGAGAAATCCCATTTTCCTTGAGCTTTTGACATCTACGAGGTCATCATTTTACAAGAATATCCTGTAAGTTTCAGAACTGAAAACGTCCTTGTTAGTCCAATAAAAGCTTTTGTTGACTCCAGGCTCATCAAACGACTCGGGGAACTATGACGACAAAGAGGATAAAACAGCACCCCCGCAGAAGAAGATCAACGCCTACTTCAACACGGCCGGTTCAGCCCCGCCCACCGATTCATGCATTATACGCATAGCTAAATAACATAGATGCCTACCTCGTGATGACAAACCGGATCGAGCTACCGAGCAATACAGAATATTGTGCAGGACCTGGTTGTGGAAGAAGACAGTCGCTGCATACGCTTCCTCTGGATTCCAATAGGACTGAATGGATAAACTTTATTTTTAATGACGTTCCAGCTGATGAGGTAAAACATTGTCCGTCTGTTCGCTTCATTTCATTGAGGATTGTTTAGTAAACAAGACTGGATTTGCAGACCGATTAAGAGTAAAGAACGGTGCTGTGCCGTCTATATTGGGTCCGACAGGAATGGTGCAACTCACGGACTCTGGGTCGAACATGTATGGGCGAATCAAACCGATTTTACAAAATTGGAAGTTTTCAGTAAAAAAATAACTGTCCACGCTTTTTCATTGATAATTTTTCACTGCGTGTCTTTAGAAAATCCTGACAGGAGTTTAATGCCAAATGAGGGTTTGCGCTGGTGCAAGCTGCAAGTAAATTTGGCCCAAAGTGTCACTACTATTTTTGTGAAACATGTTGCTCTAAAATGTTTGTTGAGTTAATGAGTTTCTAAAGTAAAAGTTGTAGATAAAAAAGAGAGAGGAGAAACAAAGGAAACTCACTTGATTTTGTCGTCTTGTACGCAGTGGGCAGCCGACACAAGCCAGCGTTTACTGATGATTGATGCACCGCAAACATGACCCATGTTTTTAACGTGGAGGCTGACCTGCCATGGGAACTCGCCCACAACTGCGTCCTCCCCACCCACAACACGAGACGACTTGAAAGCTTTCTTGCCACAGTCTAGAGAATAAAGAGGGAGAGATAGAAATCAACTTTAAATCAAGCAGGATTCAGATATGGGAACAGAAGTATATGTATAAGGATGTGAATGACACGCACTGCAGTTGGTCTCATCAGAACCGTCGCCACAGTCATCTTGCCCGTCACACTGAGGGTTCATTTTGGTGATGCATTTTTTGTTATTGCACGTAAAAGTTGTGACTGTACAAGACAAATCTGTAAAAAGGAAAAACAAGCATTAGAAAGTGCTCCATATTTCAGAATGTTTTCTGTAATATATATTTTCTGGTGCTATCAATCGATTAAAGAAAAATTAACCAATTAAATCACAAATTTTTCAGATTCATACTCTGATTAATACTTTCACATTCAATCTCTAGAATAATGTATAAACATCATAAAGAGAGTAAACAAATATTTGTTTAATAGCATCTTTTTACAAAGCACCGTGAATGAAGGCCAGTATCAATGATCAGTACTGATACTGATGTCTCCATTAAATAGATTTTTTTCTCTCTCAATTTTTACTATTAATAATAGCCATTGAACCTTACAGTATAACTGAAAAATATCATTTTTAACATTAATAGGCTTTAAAAAAACACTTTTAATGTAGCCCTCAAACCGTATTCACTTACGGTGGGACAAATGTGGGTACAGAGGGGTGATCCTAATTTTTATTTATTATAAATGTTATATGACTGTCTTCGATAAAGTTGTCTATCAATTTATGGTGTGTTTTTTTTTTAATTTTGGGGGTATTTTTGAATTTATTTACTTCAAAAAGTACCATATTTTCTATGTAAATTATGCTTATTTTTATGTTTTTTTTTTTTTAACTACATTAAAATATCATTCCAATAAGTTCTTAGAGCTAAAACCTAAAGATGAAGTGACTTTGCTGTCACCTGGTGGCTTATTTTGGCTTATTTTAGAATGCTCTAAATTACAGTTTTCCCCATTCTTTTCATTTTTATGGGTGCCCATTTTTGACCCAAATACAAGATTAAGGAGTTTTTTTTTCACCCACTTAACATTGTAGAATTGAGTAAAAAAAAAATTGTGTGTGTTCAGGAGGCAAACTTAGGAAAGTAGACAAGTCTTGTACCGCTCAGATCAAGGGAATTATTTTTTTTTAAATAAATCAAAACTATTTTGCCCACATTTGTCCAGAATACGGTTTTAGGGTTAAGGAAACAAAAGAATCCTCACATAAACCCATATAATAAATGTCACATTTAGTTTTGCCTTTAACATATCAGAGCTTAATGCTATGTTTTTCTTTTTTTACTGGCCCAGGAGGGCCGGTTCAGAATTTACCCTGCTCTGCTAAAATGCATCAAACAAATAGATTGTTTTTTAATTGTTTTTGACCCATGTAACCTTGTAAATAGTGCTTTAAGATGATCAGGTAGGTCTAACAGTTAAATAAACAGAAATGTAATACAGATTTTAGTCCTAATAAATTGTCTGGTAAAACAAAATAATGCTAAAATAAAGTAGATTTTAGATTGCATCATTCTTTATAGTCACCCCTTGAACAGCCTTCTTCATCTGAGCCATCATTACAGTCACGATTCCCGTCACACTTCAGCTTCTCGGAGACACACTGATCATTACTGCACTTAAATTCTCCAGCCTTACATCCTGCCAGAAAAGGGGACAATTTTGTCAAAGCAAGTGTGAAGATCTGTTTCTGTGTGGGAGAGAACGATGTAGAGAGATAGAGGCTGTATCTGAAACAGAAGACAATCGTTTAGCTGCCTGGTCATTCAACAGAGGAGCATTAAAGGCGTGGTATAATGCCTCTTGTTACAATATGTAAAATAAGCAGTGTTGGGTAAGTTACTCTAAAAAAGTTATTAATTACTAGTTACTAATTACCTCTTCAACAGTGTAATTAGATTACTGTACTCATTACTCTCTCTAAAAAGTATTTAATTACTAATTACTTTCAAAATCTCATATCAATCTCAACCAGCTGAATAATACAAGGATAGACATGAATCTCTTTTAATTCTTTCAAATAAATACTATAAAATTGCATGAATTATCCTTAAACTGACCAAGGTGGAGAAGGTTACATTATAAAAACATACTTTTTAACATCAGACAATACATTTTGATGTTAAACCCACTATTGTATTATGTCTGATCTCATGACATTTCACACTTTTTTCATACATATTTTACAATAATTCATACGAATTTGTACGAGTGCGGTCGTACGATTTAGGCACCTCATAAAATGCATACGAATCGCTGTGAGATCGGATTGATCTATACACAGTATTTACCTCAATTACATCAGAAGTAACTGTAATTAAATTACAGATAAATGAAGAGTAATTCCCTTACTTTACATTTTCAAGGGAAAAGTAATTAAATTACAGTAACTAATTACTTAGTAATTAGTTACACCCAATACTGAAAATAAGTCTCTGTGGTCCATCGAGTGTGTATGTGAAGTTTCAGCTCGAAATACCCCACAGATAATTTTTTTACAGCATGTTAAAATTGTCTCTTTTTGAGGGTCAAGTTGTTTTGTGTGTGTCCCTTTAAATGCAAATGAGCTGCTGCTCCCAGCACAGAGGGAGGAGCTTCAAGAGCTTGTGTGTGTGTGAGAGTTAGCAGCTCCGATTACCTCAGGCAGACGACTAAAATGTCAGAAACTGTTCTGTTTATTATTAAGGGCCCAAGACTTGAAAAGCCTATAAAATATACAGATTTTTTGTTGAATTATCAAACAGCATACACAGGATTGTGAGAAATAAGCCGCGTTTCCACGGAAATTACCCGGAAAAATTTGTCCCAGGGATTTTTCTTCCCACCAGACCTGTTGCTGTCTGCATTTTCATCACATTCTAATGTACCATGAAGATTAGGGAAATTAGTCTGGTGACATAAGACGGCACGCTACTTTCCAGTCAGATTTCGTTATCCGCATATTAGCTTAATAAAGCCTGAACCTCGGCTGTCGTACTTTGTTTGTTGAACAACTCCATTGTTGATTCAAATAGCAAACAACTCTTACGTCATGCACCACAACAGACTTTTTAAAATGGTAGTTGAAATAAAATGCTACGTGGAGTCAACCAATCAGCATGTTCAGAGCCCAAGTCCCACCCCTGAAAAAGTACTACCTCGCGAGCAGGGACTTTGAGGGAAAATTTCTAGACCCTGGTCTCTGTGGTCAAAACACACAGAGTAACACCCCAAAGTCCCTAGCCCCCTGGGGAAATTCCTGCGGTGGAAACAGGATACATCTAAATCTGACCAGATGATGTCATCTTTGTACACAGGATATTAAAAAAAGCAATGAATTCAGATGCATCTTGATGCCCTTTTCTTTTATTGCTTGTGGAGGCAGCATTCCTCATTTCAGATGCAGCCAAAAAGAAAGAAAGAGATGGAAGGAAAGGGTCTTACCACAATTAATCTCATCTGTTCCATCTCCACAGTCATCTATGCCATCACACAGAAAGAACATGGGCTTACAGAAACCGTTTTTGCACTGGATCATACCGGAGTCACATTCTGAAATACGAACCATCCACATTCAATCACAGAGTATCCTTAGCTCAAATTCACATTCAGAGGGCAAGTGTGCAATTGTGTGTGAGAATTAAAAACAATGTTTCAGTAACACTTACGGCAATTCTTCTCATCGCTGCTGTCACCACAATCGTTCCAGCCGTCACAGCGCATGGTTGGTTTTACACAGCGTTTGTTGTCGCACTGGAACATCTCCGGGCAGGCTGAGAGATTCAGAAACTGGATTTAATTTCTAATGTTCACATTGACACCACTTTAAACTGTAACAGCACCATCACTGGCATAAGTACCGGTAAGTTTATTTTTTCCACCTCAGGCCAAACAACTACTAAAATGCTCAAAAATGTGACCCAGTTTTTACCAGTTAACCATTTGAACATCTTTACTTACGGTCAGTGGGCTCGTACGCCTCAAAAGTGGCTTTAAAACCTCGATCTACATATGATGAATCCGAGTGGAACACAACAGTCATCGTGTTACTGTTGCCGGTAACCATATGATTAGCTGGCTTCTGCCCACACAATCTGCTGCAAAGTAATAATAAGCAAGTAAGTCAGAGCTGCAAGAGTCTGGATAAATAGAAATATCATATTTTTCTTGTTTAAAATGGAGATCACAATTCGTTCATGATTCTGAACAGACAACTAAACAAAATAACATTTCATTTACTGTTTACATCAGTGTATTTAAATCTCTCGAATGAACGATTCAATAACAAATCCGTGAGCGACACTGGGCGAGAGAGAGACAGATTGTGACTTTATTTAAACTTATATAAACTAATATAATTTATTTTACTGGACAGTTTAAAGCTCATAACCGTATTTTGTTATTACTGTAAGAGTGCAGTGTTATTGTCCTGAAAAGGCTACGGAGTAAATGTCTGTTACCTCAATACATTTAAGGTCATTCCTATTTTATTTGTATACATTTTAATCATTAACTTTAAAAGCACACTCTTTTTACGACTAAAATATCAGTCAAGGGTAAAAAAAAAATAATTCCCAAAAATTAAAATGGGGAAAAAGTAAAACGGATTTCATAGGGCCCTAGGAACTTGTCAAATGTTTTAACAGACATAACTAAAGCTGAATCGTGGTCATTTAGGAATAAGATCGCATGGGTGTTTCAATAGAGATCGCGTTGCGAGTATGAAATCTTCAGCTAAATGAAAACAAGAAGTGGTGCAGCCTATTGGTTCAAGATCAAATGAAGAAGAAACTCACTAAATGTGAACTCTGAAAACAAACCTTTCTTCTAAAAATAAATAAATCTTGTTTTAAGGATGTTTAGATTTTTTTTTACAGTAGAAAACAAGATAAAATAAATACAGACCAAGATCCAAAAGTGAAATGTCCTTAGCCTCATCAGCACTCTTGGAGAAACGTCAGATAGGACCAGAGACATTTCTGTGAAAAGTTTAACTGAAGCTCTAATTTACTGACCTCTTACCAGCAATCTCCACATAATCTGAACAACTCTCAGTTGAAACCATAAACTTGGGGAACTTCAGCTTGATGAATTTGCCAACAGGAACCTTTAAACAATAGATACAGATGAAGAGTGCTCATAAAGCACCAAAGACTTTTATAAAAGTGGTTCATCACGTCATGAATTGGTTCAACACGAGTGTTTGGGCCTCACCGTGATGTCCCAGTGACATGTTGTGTTGGGGGGGTAATAATTAGGGAAGTTAGGTGATTGGAAACTACCAGAGGATCCAGTCAATGGACCACCACACGGGAGACCTGTTAAAAGGGAAGATTCAGTGAGAGATGAAGAAAAAAATATAAAAGTAATGCATCCCTTATTTTTGATCAGTCAAGCAAGCCAGGATTTATCTTTACCATCTAGCTTGATCTGACTGATACGGGCTCTGAATCCAGGGAAATTCTCTTCGTCGCTGGTTACCAAGGTGACCAGCATAACATTCCGAGACGAGATGAAGGATAGAGGATCACTGGGAGAATAGTAGCCACACTTCCTGTTTGACACAGGGAGAGAAACTCAATTATGTTGAAATTTGACTTCGCTTAATCAGCCACCAGATGGCGCTACAGCCACAAACACAATTCAGCATTCCCTTACTCTGCCATAAGGAATTTGTCCATGGGGACCAAAGAGTCATACACTCTCACAAAGTCCTTTGCACAGTTTTGTTCCAGGTTGAAGGTGTCGAAAGACAACTTTAGTGCAAACCCTGGGTCTCCCCGAAGCTGCCATTGCACAACAGAGTTTGGAGGATATGGGGAGTCAGGGAAACCCGGTGATTTAATGATCTCATCCGCAGTATCTCTGGTGTGCTGGGCGTATCTTGTACTTGCTAGACATAAGCAAAACAAAAGGTTATTCTTACACATTTATTATTGGATACACTGTACAATAATAAATATGAATGTGGCTGTTCCAAAACCTCCTGAACCCTATGATTTCTGCCATGCACAAATCTATAATAGGACTCGCCACATGAACTTCATCTCCAGAGCTGCTCTGACAAGTTCACCTTATGAGTATCTCATCATTTCAGTTGACAAAACACACCCGCCAAAATAAAAGTTTGGTTTAACTTGAAGAAATTATGACACGAAATATTACTAGTGTACAGTAGAATGTTCTTCTCAAAAAATACATCTTATTGAAACATTTAATTAAAATTTGAATACATTTTAAAAGATTAATTAAATTGTTAAAAGTTTTATGCATTAATTTTATTGCCGGAGAACACAGAATTTATTTTTTTAAATTTTTTTTATAAAATAAAACATCAGTGTTACTATTATTGTTTAAATAATAATTAAAAAAATAATGTTTTAAAGTTATGCAAAATCAATTGATTAGACATCATTTGTTATAATAAAATGTAACTTAACTTAATCATGAATTTTGTTTTAGTAGTTCAGTTATTGATTGATAGATCAATCAAATTAAATCAATAACTGAATTACTAAAACAGAATTCAGGAATTATTTTTATGCATTAATTTTATTGCCGGAGAACACAGAATTTCTTTCTTTTTTTTTTATAAATTAAACCATCAATGTTACTATTTTTGTTTAAATAATAATTAAAAAATAATGTTTTAAAGTTATGCAAAATCAATTGATTAGAAATCATTTGTTATAATAAAACGTAACTTAACTTAATCATGAATTCTGTTTTAGTAGTTCAGTTATTGATTGATAGATCAAATTAAATCAATAACTGAATTACTAAAACAGAATTCAGGAATTATTTAACAGAATTTGGGAAAAAATTGTATTTCTGCTTCGCTGTCTACACAAATTGAACTGGTAAAATGGTAAATGGTAAATGGACTGCATATTAAATAGCATTATAAACTGAACTGGAACCAAAGTCACTTTAAGGCAAGGATGCCTAAAATGCCTCTCTCAGGAGTATGGCTCCTAGCTGTTTGAATGTGAAGATATCAAATTCCTCAAAGATGTTCACCAAGCCTTATTGATTAAATTTATATTTGAAATCTGACAACAACTGTCTCACAAATTTTGTTTCTAAATGCTTAAATCAAGACAAAAAACCCCAGCCATTTTCTCCCATTCATAGTAGTACAAGTGTAATATGAGCCTTTATATATCTCAAGGTTTTGATAGGTTAAGTCTTTTGATAGTCTTTTTAGGTTGCCATCTCTGATTTATTTTTTCACTAACCTTGTTGCAATGCATTATCAGACTGCTCATGGGGATGCTGCCTTAAGTTAGCTTATGGAATAGCCTTCATGTCAGGACTCAGAGTCAGGAGCATAGCTATGATACCTTAAATTGCTTGATATGGAGGCAGTTCACTAGGTTTTGGAACAGAGAGTACTTGAGAGATATATGTAATGGACTAACTCACTCCTGGCATTTGAGAACAAACGTGTGTCCAGAGCTGTTAATGAAAGATTGACATAGTTATAATAACTCTGGCTGAAGACAAGCATCTGAACTTCAGTATCATGGACATTCATGTTTTCAATGATAGCATGCAGTCTAGAGATCAGAATCTGGATGAATCTCACAAAACATGTCAAGAACCAGGTCAAATTTCACCCCAAAATGACAAAAAGAAATTATAATTTATTTATGTTTGCTCTGGAGAATTAATTAAACCTTCTTTGTAGGAAAAAATATCTTTCATGACAATAATGCACACTTCCCCCAAATCTAATTACTGAAATGCTAAATAAAACAACAACATTTGTAACTAAAAAAAGTGCACATTTTTAAAAAATCACATTCTGTATACCGTCAAAGCATAGTTTTCCAATTACAACGCAATTTGCAGTTGTACTCATAACTCAGAATGCCTAATGTTGGTTTGATTTCTTGTGTTACATGAGAAAATAAATCATTTTTGTCTACTTGATGTAATATTTAGTGTATATTTTATTAGTATATTTAATCCTGAGCACGGGTTTACCAAAGAGGACCCATGCAGGACTCTGCTTCGGATAATGCCAATTCTGAATCAACATACACAACTGCCAAATGTACTTTTAGCATCAGTTCTTGCCTTTAGGAAACAATAACTTCATTTGTGGTGCACTTTGTTCTTTAAAACTTTGCAGACCTTTACCTGCACAAATCTAAATGGTTAAAAGCACTATATAAATGAGAATGACAGTCACCTCTGATAAGAGATTACATGCATGCATTTTCGGTTAAGCTGCTTTAAAACGATATGCATTTTGAAAAGTGCTATACAAATAAATGTGTGAACTGAATTATGCAAATTATAATTTTGATTTAGCAGATAAATATGATTTACACATTTAGTGAGATTCATCCATCTATCCAAACTATGTAATGAATATGTATGAATTTATATTACCTGAAGACACAACATAATCGAAGATCAGGGGACCTTGATTTTTCACAACACCGCGTGCAGCTTTAGGGGCGCTATACATGTTAGATAACTCGCTCACAGCCTGATCCACTGCTTTGTCCTGCCCCACTGGAACAGTGAAATCGGACTCATAGTAAGCTATTACACTGCCCTCACTGCGGGGAGACGGAGAAACAGGCAACACTCAAGAGTCTGACCATCTTACAATATAATATCCATGAGGGGAAAAAAGGATGTGAATAGTTTTAATGATGTAATAATTTTGTTAATGTCGCTGAACAATTTGCCTATTCATTCTGCTCTCTGATTTTGTGAATAAGCCTTGCAATGGCAAGCAAATTAAACTTAAAGTGCCCCTTTAAGGAACGATGGTGTCCGTATTAATTCCACAGTGTCCACATCCTTTCAAAGCGCATGCAAAGGGGGTTTGAAGGGCTGAAAAAGGCATCTCCTCGACAAAACCAACAAAACTCTTCCAGGCCTCAGCTACAACCACACTCTTAGAAGAAAAGGTTCTATATAGAACCTTAAAAGGTTCTAAAGCGCTACGTATTTGGAACCCCTAAAATGCAATGCATGAATGATCACAAAATTCAAAATATCGGGGTTAAAAATTGTTATTAATCAATTTCACACGAAGAGTGCCATTTCAGCTTTTATCCTTCAAAAATCAGCATGATTAAAATGGGATATTAAGTTACTACAACAATTTAATAAACAATAATTTAATTACAACTGCAAAATGTTGCAGAATAATGTAATATATGAATGAATAATAGCCTATAAAGAACCTTCTTCTTTCTTGTCATTATCATCATTTTTTTGCATAAAAGGTCTTTTGCAGTAGAGTAAAGAACCCTATGCTACATATGAAGAGTTCAGATGCAAAAGCCTCTAAATGCCATTTGGAATTTTCTTCTAAAATGACCATTTTTATCAAGCTTGTATATTTAAGTTCAGTAATTTCACTTAAATGACAATTAATAGGTAATCTTCATTGCCATTTAAGTGAAATTACTGAACTTAAACATACAAGCTTGATAAAAATGATCATTCTAGAAGAAAATTTCAAATGGCACTTAGAGGCTTTTGCATCTGAACTCTTCATATATAGAACCCTTTTTTCTAAGAGCGACTCAATGTAGACGTTGATGAAGACAATAGGCTGGCATTATGCAAACGTGTTACACTGTTACGTAGGCATTTAACAGGAAGTTAGACTGGAATTGCTGATGACTCGTTTCAGCAGTTTAGCATCAATTCAGGAAACAATAACTTTATTTGTGGTGTACTTTGTTCTTTAAAACTTTGCACACTTTTACATTAACAAGAAGCTATGTTACACACTGCATGAAAGGTAATATTTGCAAACACATAATAGGGACACTTTAAGAGCAGGTGCATGACCAAACTATCATTTGTTTAAATGTGGAGAATCAGATGTAGACGTACCTGAAGGCTTGAACTCTGGAACCAACATAATATTTAGACAGTAGTGGAGATTCTGAGTACATTGATTTCAGCTGAGAACGGAAATCGAAATCAAAATCAAAAACACTTTTCTCTGTCAACACTATGTGAAAAAGCAGCTTTAATTTAATTCTCACCTGAGACATGACTTGTTTAGCCAAGCCTTGAAACTCTGGACTGTCTGAGGTTTCATACGCATCCACAAAAGGTTGATTTGTTATCCTAAGCGAGCCGGTGTAAATCTTCTGTATATTAAAATCCTTCCGGACTGCAGGAGACGTGAACCGACAAACATGTGATCAACACCGTCATGATTGACACTGGTAACATTGTTATACTGTCTCTGTAACTGCACAGTGTTGACTTACAATGGAAATGCCAGACCAGAACCCCAACGATCAAAGCCAAAACGGCTGCCAAGATCACCAGACCAACGATGAACCCAACTCTTCCAGGGCCCCTTTTCTTCTCCAGCTTTTTATTATCTGATGCTGGCAAAAATGTGACCGCTTGGTCCCAGTCCTTGTCCTAATAGAAAAAGAGGCAAAAGTACATTTCAGTGTCTCCAAAATGCCGCAGCTCGAGTGGTCTTTAACGAGCTACTTCCTATGACACGACCCTTGTTCCAAGATGGCGGCGGTTTTGACGCATGCTTAGAACCCCAAGGCAACATCTAGTGTATATATCTATGGAAATGTGGTTTGGTCTGTGAAAATTTGGACTACTTTTACATTTACTCTAGTTACCAAATATTGTAATGCATGTTTATTTGGTAATTTAAGCGATACAAGTGAAGAGAATACGTTTTTAATATTGATTTAATCGTAGAGATGAATCATGCACAATAAGAAAAGGAATCAGCATTGAGAATGTAAATAGTGTTGACCAAGACAAATCACACTGGGTACACAATCAGACTGATGACGGAAGTAGAAGGCATAATGGGACATGCTATTCTGACCCTAAACTTTGAACAGTAGTGTAATTTGCTCTCTATGGAAGACTGACCTACATTGTGTCTTTTACGACCGCTAACAAACTGTTATCTCAGAGTGCCGTCACATGATTTTTCATGACCTATATTTTTTTTAATATGTGTCAAAAATGTCGGAAGTTCATGGAAACTCTTAGAGAAGAGACTTCTGATTTTGCAATTAGGATACAAAGTGTCGAAAGAACAAATTAACCCAAGGAAATTCAAGGACATCTAAAAGCTTGTGTTAGCTTGTGTGTGTATGTGGTTTATCTCTTTCCTACCGCATATTTGAAACCACAAGCACATAAACCAACAATCTAACCATTTTTAATTAATTTTTCTAACGTCAACAAACTCACATGGGGGTTATGACGTGAGAAATCAAATCTGCATTTAACTTCTACATAAAGAGGTCTATGTATCAACAAAACATCATGTAAGTTTCAAAGCTTAAAGGGGTGGTAAAATGCCACTTTCACAAGATGTAAAATAAATCTATGATGTCCCAAGAGCAGGGCCTGAAATTAACACCCGACCACCTGCCAAATGCGGGTGAATTTTGCTATTGGCGGGTAACACTGTCAATCTACCTGCCACATTGGCGGGTAGCCAATGAGAATTGAGTGATTCATTAGGATTTTTACATTTCAACGAAGTCCGCTATTGCGGTGGACTTTAGCTAAAATGTGGCGGCACATTACTGGGGTAAAGAGGCCAGCTGAAACAAAACAAACAGCCAACAAAAAGATGAGGATGAGAAAAAGAAAAGTAAAGAAGACATTTTAATACAAAGTGAACAATCGGCGGCAATGGCAAGGTTCGTGAGCGGCTGATTTATGACAGCGACTGTTGTTTCGTAACGTTCATGCGATCAGAAAGAAGATGAGGCTCTTTTTCTGACTACGTGTGCGAGTATTAAACTGTTGATGAGATGGGATGAGATAATGTAACGCGTCGCTGTTGTAGGTTAAAGTACAATGACAGTTGCACAGATGTGTGTGCGTGTGCAACTGTGCATGTTGGGAGTTGGGAACCGGTGAGAAAATGTCCGGTACCCGGTAATTTTATCAGTAATAACATTATTAATTTAGTTCATATTTAACCGTTCCTGAACGCTGTAACTAAAAGCTGTTAAGAGTAAGACCTGTACGTGACTAAATCCGCCATCAACACAGCCGCGTGTGATTTGTTTACGAGCTGCGGTAGGTCTATCTGTTGAGTATATACTATGTTGTGTGTGTGTGTGTGTGTCTGTCAAAATCAATGAATAAAAAGAATTTTTTTTAAATGTATGTTATTAGAGTTATTATTACTTGACAGCACTAAAATGTGTGTTCTTACAAGTTAAAGAACAATATTGTGAAATTCCCGGGTTTGTTTTTTATTTTATTTTATTTTTTTTACGTTTATGAGGCAAAAAAAAAAAAAAAAAAAAAAAGGCTGGTAAAAAGTCTCTGTGGCGGGTGAATTTTTAAATCCACCTGCCACAGTGGCCGGTGGCCGAAAAAATTAACTTCAGGCCCTGCCCAAGAGTGTGTGTGTGTGAAGTTTTAGCACAAAATGCCCCAGATATTTGTATATAGCATGTTAAAGTTGTCGCTTTTTGAGGATTAGCCAAACGCACCATTTTGTGCCTGGCCCTTTAAATGCAAATGAGCTGCTGCAGAGGGCGGGGTATTATAAGCTGGTGTAACACAAAAGCCAGTTTTGTCCACTGTCAAGGCAAGGCATTGCGAGTTTGTGTTTTACAGCAGAAACCGACAAGCACCCTTGTTTGTGAACACAACCAGATAAGTTAGCACACAGTATTCAGGTTAGGTGACAACAAGGCTGCTTGCTAGTCACTTAGAAAAGACGTGCTAGCTGAGAAGAGTTTCATGAAAGCTGACTAAAAGTGATCGTTGATGGATAATATCAATGAACTTGATGAACCCGTGATATCTGTTTACGTGGGTTTATCAAGTTCGTTGAAATTATCGACGCGGGTTTACGCAAGGTTTATCAAGTTTGTTGAAATTATCAACGCGGGTTTATGCGAGTGAAGATTGAAAATCTCTTAACTGAAGTTGTTTTTAGTACTATTATTACTTTTTATTAATATTCATAATCAGAAGTTTTATGTATCCGTTTTATTACTTTTTGTAATAATTTGTAATAATTGCATTTTGTGAATTATAATGTTTTGAAGATGTGGGAGAGAAAGAGACTTTAGGAGACTTTGTGATAAGTTAGACTGCATGAGAGAATGTATGTTGGAGTGAGACTGAAAGTATATGTAGTGTATAGTTTCCACCGGGATTGGATATACATTCCATTGTTAATAGGAACCACATATTATTGTGGTAATGTATGTGTTACTATGGTGATATAGTTTTTTCTTGGTCAGTGGTATAAATACTGAGTCCGAAAAGCAGGAAGAGATGGCAACGATGCAGAATGAAGACCTCTGTTTGTCTATAGTCTCTTCCTCCTATGTCTTCTAAAAATTATAAATAAATTCGAGAGATCTCTTGGCAAAATCACTGGTGTCTCTTTTCATGAAACTAATCAACAACAAGGGGATAGCAAAGAATTTTTTTAAAATCTACAGTGAGGTTCATAACGTTTGTTGAAATTATCAACGCGGGTTTACGCGAGGTTCATCAAGTTACTTGAAATTATCAACGCGAGGTTCATCAAGTTCATTGCGGGTTCATGAAGTTCGTTGAAATCGCTGAAATTAACAGTTGTTTGTTGTAGTCCTTAAAAAAAAGATTTCTTTAAAAGCAATATCTTCCTTTCCTTTGAACTTTGAGCGTTATAACTTTGCAGATGTTGTTTATGCATAAACAGCAACATTACACACTAACTAAAGTTAGAAAAGTGAAATCATACTAACAACCAGCCCTTTTATTTTTTAAGTGAACCTATTAAATTAATTAAAAAAAAATACATGTCATGACCCCTTTAATGGTGCCGAGTAAAGTTAATGCCATTTTTAAGAGATCAGAATGATTGTTGCTCTTCTAATCAGACTTTTTGTTTGGTTTGAATAAGACATTCAACTTTCAAGTTAATGAGTGAAAGAAGTCCAGCTGTAAATGAATGAACTCCAACTGGGTTGAGCGGTCGACATTCTGTGACGACATGCATGATGAAAAGCAGCTGATCACTAGTGAATCAGGGGATATCCCCGACTCATTTTCTCTGTGCAAGTTTCATCTGTGGGGGTGTTTGGTCATAGAAATGCTAACTGCCGTAAGCATGTCGTAACAGATCTCTGGAATGTGTTCTGGCGTTCACACACATCAGACAAACATCAGCAGGTGACTGATCATTCAAAACACATCAAAATCCTCAATTCTTCCCATGCGCTTCGAAATATTTAACCTGATCTACATATAACTTAGCCTTCGTAGTTCGCTTCTGTACTCAGTCCGAGACATCGACATGTCTCTCAGATTTCCTCTGGCCTGAAAACAGCCGGCAAATCAACGAACAGAGGGTGGGCTGAGAGCCATGACGTAGACGCTGAGCACCGAGTTTAAGATTGTATTTTAGGTTAGGGAAATCGAAAACGGCCGCGGATATGGAGACACGGGATGCAATTCGCTCTCTTGTGGAGAATATTCATGGCATTTGCAAACTGAAGGCCGAACTAGACGAGTGTTTGGTAAACATTTTGAATGGAGGTGATATAGAGTGCCGAAGTGATGACATCACTTTGTAGGACAACTCGGACGTTAGCGTCGCATGGGTTCCCTCGATCGAAAAGTTATGCATTTTCCCCATAGACTTTTGGAAAATCGCAAAAAAATAAGATCTGTGTTGAGGGTTGGGTATCGTTTGAATTTGAACGATTCTGATTCCGATTCCGATTCCTTTTTTCGATTCCGGTTCCTAACGATTCTCGATTTCGATTCTTTTAAGAGGCAGGGTCAAAAAAGTTTAGCTAACCTTGCTAACCAACGGTCTTCCTGAAGGAAATACTCCTTCTGTCACAAATACTTGTCACAAATTTTGCATTTTGCAGAGATTTCGTTAATTTTTAGAAAAGTGAAGCCACACTTTGGACCGCCGACGTAAGCTACTCATGTTCGACTCGCACGGTTATGCCAACACTTCCGGTAGACGCTTCTTCGTTGGTGTTGTTCAGCGGTTTCTTCTTCCGCTCGGCGGACTGTGAATATTGAAACTAGGAATTGAAATTTTAACTTTTGAACGATTCCGGGAAATACGAAAAGTTAGTCCCGGTTCCAATCGATACTCGATTCTCGATACCCAACCATATCTGTGTTCAACAAAGAGTTGTGTGACCTAGTGTTGTCAAAAAACTCGGTACTTCGGTACCAAGTCGGTACTAAAAAAAAAAAATGTTACGGTACCAGCTTTTCTAGGTACCGAGTACCAGGTTAATCCAGTTCTGTTCTAGACGCGATGTCTGAAACGTGCACAGTTGCGTCCTCTTCATAACGCTGATATGGCTCTCTCTCTCTGAATCCACTTGTTGACACGAAAGGAGGAAAGAGCCACATATGGAAATATTTTGGATTAGGCTAATGTCACGTTGCCATAAGAGGCCGATTACATGCAAATTCGCAATTTCAAATATAGGCGTGATTCAAGCGCGCTCCTAATAAAAACTCGTTGGCGTTGCATAGCAACGACAGACGCCGCGTGAGAGCAAGTGCTTTGGAAAGAATAAGCACGCGCAAAAATATAATTAAAAAACACGCGCGACATGTGAACGGCCTCTAAAGTGCTTTCGGGGTAGTTTTACGAGTACATGAGCACAGTAGTATCTACCCGACACCAGAGTACTATGGTATTAGTATTATCATTTAATGTCAATGCCAGTTCTAGGCGTATTCTTGCCTTTATAACTCAGCAGGTTTAAAAAGCCTTTTTAAAATTAAATATGAATGCAGTTTTAGATTAATAAAAGGACAGTCAAGTCAAATAAAACATGTTTTATGGTAATGCTACAAAGATACCATTCATAAACATTACTTATATCAACACATTGAGTGAACAATATATTTTTACAACATTAATTAATGTTTGAAAATGTTATTTATTACAAACACCTGATTGTTCATGTTTGTTCACTTAATTCATTGTGCATTAAATAAATAATGGATTAAAACTTTACAAACAACTTTAAAAATGTGTTAGTGTATACTATTGTTTATTTTAGGTCATTTTATCTAATCTTTTTCTAAAGTGTTTATAATACAATTGTACAGTTTCCATACTTGTAACCGTGATAAACACTTAAATATATGTAAATTTAAACTAAGCTTTGGTACCGAAATTGGTACCGAGAACCGTGAATTTTAACTGGTATCGGTACCGAATACTGAAATTTTGGTACCGTGACAACACTAGTGTGACCCTTACAAGTTGTCCATCAAGATAATCTTTTCAAGTTAATCCAAAATGTAGACATTTCGAAGCCTATATAAAACCCACAAGCAGACAAAATAAAGTTAAAAAACACAAGCAGGTTATAACTGTGTGTTTTATGTCATAGATCAAAACTTAAATATTTAGAGGCTTTGTTCACCACAGACCTTATTTCAGGCGATTTAGCAAAAACCCATTCAAAAAAACCAAAGGCTTTAGAGCGAGGGAACCGAAAGTGCTGAAATGCTAACTCACTTCTGCGTTTGGCCTACAAAGTGGCATCATAACTTTGGCACTCTATTGTGTGGCCCTACTCCCGACAGGTTTTGGGAAAAGTTTAATTTATTAACTATTACCGATCGTCAGCGAGAAACTGGGGAGGCCAAAAGCCGGCAAAGGCGATAGTTGTGATTGCACTAAGGAGGCGGCAAAATTCGGTCAGCCATGTTCACTCTGGTATTTCGCTCGATGGTTTCGTTTTCGCATCATACATGTGGTTACAGTGGAAGTTCGATGTGACTGAGCTGGCGAATAACACGTCATAACCAAACATTATGTGATTGGCTTACGGGTAACTAATGATTTTATACTTCAGACAAAAGTTGTTGTTTTTTTTAATACTTTTATATCTTGATATTGGATGTTTTTTAATGAAAACTAAGAGACTTTTTGCGAATATTTTAGTCACACTAATAAAGTTAATTTATATCAGGTCTGTAACATGATTATCCTTTTCTGGAATTCGTGTTGTATATGTTACTTTTTGTGATAACATACAAACTTAAATATTTCCACAATAAATACAAATAAAAAAATTTGAAACTGCCCTAAACTGTGAAGGGACTTCACAAAGGGACTAATATTTTGAGTCGGTTATGTCACTACTTTTTCTTAGTAACTAGTGACAGACCAATATTTAGTCAGGGTTATTATCATTACCTAAAAACTATTAAAACCATTTCTGTTAATTGAAATAAAATTGAAATAATATATAAATATTAGTTGGAAAAACTTAAACTAACCTGCAATAGGTTAAGTAAAAGCACCAAAATTATTACCTGGAAATATAATTTAAAAACTATATTTTTTTTTTTGTAATTATTAATAAAATTATATACTTACAATAAATTAATAAACCTACAGAGAAATATATATTTTAAAAAAATGAATGTCTAAAGCACATAAGTCCTAAAAACAAATGAAAAATAAAAGCTAATTAAAAATATTAATACAATTACAAAAAATAATATATAACACTGATTGACGCATTCCAAAAACAACCCTGTGAAAGGGCTTTCACACATTTTTTTTTAGAAATGGTGTAAAAATTACTATTAAATGTTATTTTACACTATAGTCTGTCTCATTTGCTATTTTAAATAGGCCTAGTACACCTATTGGTATTATTTCATCCAACGGTCACCCAGTGCACTGAAACTCAAATTTCACAAATAATTACAAAGAAATGGCAAATTGAATTAAAAATGAAATTTTGAAGTAGAAAGAAATGGTATTTTTTTTTTCAAATGTACTCAAGTAATCGAATTTGCTTACAACTTAGAAAAATGTTTTTCTTTTTTTCAGTTTACCATTGATATCAGAATCGACATCGGCCGTTGAAAACCCAGTATCTTTCACCACCACTACATAATCACCAAAGTACAAATGTTTTGAATCTAATCCTCAAGAAGACAATCAGATACCAACAATCACCATACAAACTGATATTGTGGACTGTCTGGAAGCACTTCATTTAGGGTCTTGTGAAATGTCCATTGACACCCTTTGCTCAGAGATGACAATGAAGCCTAGTCAGCAGAACAGCTTAAACTCACACTCATATAGATGATTTATAGAAATAAAATCCCTTACACATGCCAAACCGACCAAGACGGGGAAAAAAATAACTACAGAGAGGAAATGAGGTCTGGCACAATTTAAACAAATACATGATGTGAAACCTCCAGTGGCGTCACTGTGATACGCTTATAAGTTTTGCCCACTAAAGCGCTCAATGCACTCAAACATCAGGTTATGCGATGTGTCATTCTGTCATTCATTACTCCATAAGGCCTTTTAGATCAAAACGTAGAATATTTTCAATACTAGCTTTTATCTGGCTCTTTAAAAGAAAGACCAACCAAGTTGCACAGGAGGCTCAGCTACATTAAATAGAGCTGAACATAACTAGAATAATGTGTAGCCAGCCCAGACACTATGAAATGTGTGTGATATTTTAAGTTCTTATTCATTTTCAATTCATTTTTAATATGATTATTAAAAGGGAACCTTGATAAATATGGGTAATATCACTGCTGTTTGAAATGGGCCTGTTAACCAAATCTCTAACTAACCACAATCTTGTTTAGAGTTTCAAATGTCTTACACCTTCTGATAAACAGTAGCCTACATTCATGCGAGAGAAAAAATACACACAGCACAGTTTTGAGGACATAAAGGTGAGATTTCAGTGGGTTGCAAATGTTTAAAGGTGCTTGGCAGGTTGAAAAACAACAGGTTATTATATTAATATGGCGAAACTTACCGAAGAACGGGGAGTGTAACGCATTCCTCCGTCCATAGGGTCCATGTCGGAGAGACCACCAGCAGCAGACTATCAACACACCTTTCTTCACACACTTCCACTTCTGCTGCCAAAATATTTGTGTATTGAGAAGGGAAAACAGACTTGTTATTCTCAGCTTAAGTCAAACAAGCTACAACGCCCATAACAAGTGCACGCGGCGACAAAATAAAACATTCAACCGTCCTAAAAAAACTTCCTCATGAACTTTCGAATAAACTAAGATGTGTAAATCACGAAAACGAAATTACACGATCATTTAAAACGAGACAGATTTTGTATCTTCCGCAGAGAGTGAAGTTTGTGTCGTCTACCAGTGAGATGAGAAGATATTTCCGGAGAGATTGGCGATACAATGGGAGTGACTAGCTCAAGCGATACTGTCTCCACAGGTGTGCACTTTACATTTGAACACCTTTAAACCCAATTCAACACAACAACAAAACCCTCAAAGTAAGGTGAATACATCCGTTACTATTTTAAACGAATATAAAGTTAATTTTAAGTGCGTATATGACTGTATAGCGTAGTATCGATCCGTGTTTCGGCTGCGGAGTGACTCACCTTACGCGGGTTTGGGTGTCGTCTCAATCTAGGGTGCTGCGGCTGCCCTGCTGCCTACCTAGGCTGCATGTTATACGGAACGCTCTTACTGGGCCGAAAAGGCTGACTAGGTAGGGAACGTTCTAGGTTTTGAGAAACGCATTCCATTCGAGCCTGTATTATTCACCTTGACACAAACTCGACATACAGGTTTCTGTTGCATGAAAATGGCGTTTCCACGAAATAGTGCCTAGCCTACTGGAAAAATTGTCGACTAACCTTTTCACATACAAATACAAATGTTATCGCCTAATAGGGCCCAGTAAAAGTTTATTGTTCAAATGTATTTGCTTAATTCAATTACTGAATTTAAAATATTAATTTAACAGATGGCGTAGGCTGTAGAAATTCACCAAAAGGCAATAGTGAAAATAGGAGAGAGCGTGGGATAGTTGCAACACTTTCTTTGAGTTTATAGTAGCCTACCCTTTGTATTGGAAAGCCAACATTTTAATACAATATGCCCACATCTGTCAGCTACCAACCCACACTGCTGCAATGTGTACATATGATAATAGCCTATGTGTACAATTTACACTTCAATAGACAGAGTCAAATGTTGCAAGCAACTGACCTATAGCCTACAGGGGACGGTTGCAACATTCATTAAAATGTAATAAAATAGCTTTTTTTTAATATAGGATATTTACGTTATGTTTATATTATTCTTTGTCCTTCTAGCAGGGCATTTGCATAATTTGATTGGATTTTTAAGAGAAGAACCTTCAAGATTTTTATAATAGCCTACTAATGCGTCATAGAGTTAACATACTCTCAACTCAAAACGATTTCTTTCTTAAAATGTCAATAAATTATAACTTTAAAAATTGTAATGGTTTCCTACCAATCATGTCTTTTTTCTCTTTTTAGTTAAACTGAACATGTGAGGAGTTAAGGGTATAGTATAGTACTTCACTTTCTTGTGATTATTCATTAAATATAATTAATACTTTGTGTGTCTGATTGGTCGAGAAGGTCCAGATGCTACATTTTTCTAACTTGAAATTAATGTTTTTGGAGAATTGGAATCGTCACATGTGGTTGCTTTCTTCCAGGAAAGGAAGAGGGGCTAACTGAGCATGTGTAATATGAATATCATCTCTAGCTCATTCCTGATTGTATAAATAAACCAACATGGATTATTTATAACCCCACTCTCTCCCCTACCAGAATATTTGATGCAAATATTCAGCAGAATTTATGGTTGTTGTTTTTTTTACTGTCTCTCAAAATCGAAAGCTTCTGCCACCTGGTGCTTGGTAAAAAAAATGACACATTTTTTTTTTTATTATTATTTCAATGGAATGATTGTACTATATTTGAGTTTGATAATATTTTGCATTTTAGGTTTTATGGTTTTAAGGAGGTTTTATGGCATTTTAAGGAGGTTTTATCTAAACTATATTTATGCATAAGTTATAATCCATTTACTGACTTTTTGAGCATGGACCTGAAAAAGAAAGGTCTTAAATCTTGAAGCTTTGGAGCACAGATTTAATTTTTTTTAATTTACTTTTTAAAAAGTTGAAAAAAAAAAAGTTTTAAAAAGTGAACTTAAAAAAGGTTATACAATTTTACATTTATTGTTATAAAAAAATTCACAAAAATAGCATTTTTTTATTTTTATAAAATATATATATATATATTTTCCAAAGCACGTTTTACTTTTACTTTTATGTTTTAAGTCTAATAATAATTAGCTGTCAGTCAGAATTTGTTTGTGCACAGTATACCAAATGTTTCAAATAGGTTTTTTTGACCATAGTGTGACAATTTTTTTCAGAACCTTTAAATTATGTCATGTTTGTGTTCACACAGCAAGTGCCAAAATGTTAACCAAATTTTGTACCATTTATGGTACCACAACATTAACATCAAAATGAGCTGACAGCACCAGAGGGTGCATGAAGTTAAAAAAGATTCTCATGTCTGTCAGAGAAGAGTCAAGCTTGTTATGGATAATAGGTCAGCAAATGCACATAAAATCAATTGTAAATACTGTATGTTCTGTAATCTGTCTCAAACAAAATTACTGCCCTTTCTAACATTCAAAATTTCACCATCACAAAATATTCTCTATTTAAATATTTATTTATCTCTCTATTTTTATTTATGTTTATGAGAAAATATATGGATAAATTATTAGATGAATGGCCTTATTGATCTTTGAGGGAAGCAACAGCAACAACACATATAACCAACATACTGTACAGTCTGATATACAATAAGATATCATATGCTGCATAGTAAACAATACAACAGAATGTGGGAAAACATGGCAGATGACAGTAAAAGCTTCTCATATTTATTGACAATTGGATTGTGTAAATGTGGTGTAATGGGAGAGGCAGACAGAGTATTGTTGTGTAATAGCAGCAAGTGGAAAAAAGACCTCCATGTAGATCCTTGTCTCTGCTCACATGGTCACGTCAATGTAATGCTTCAGTGTGACACTTCATCTAAGCCTCCGGCAATTAACTCTGATTCGTCGTTCCGTGTAAAGTTCAGTTTGGCAGAGTTTGTCATGGTGTTGAACAGGAAATGCTTGGTTTGTCCACTTCCCCTCATTGATTTGGAAACAGCTGACTCTGTAATACAAACATGGAAAGTTGTAATTAGCATTTATATTTGATTGATTTTCACTCAATTTTGTCTCTTGAAATACAATCTGGGAAGACATTATATGAATGAGGAAATAATAATTTTTATTACAAGTTATTACTCAAATTGTGTATTAACTGAGGAAGTAAATATTCCATGTGTCATAATAAAAACTGTATCCAATAAAGGTTGATGTATAGTTTCCACCAGAAACTTGTTAATTCATTAAATATATTGCTATATGTGGAGTATTGTGAATCCAAAAAAAATCATATTTAAAGACCCATGTATGTAGTAAAACTTTGTTAGAAATGTGTACAATATCATCTGGAAAATATTTACATATCTGTATCCATTTTTTTCTACACCATTAAAGCAACCTACTGTTTGTATAAACCTGAAGAGAAACAAAAGTAACTGTCTTTGATCTCATGATTGCATTCTTTTACCAATCTTTAGAAAACTGAATACAACAAAATTGCCAAATTCAGTAAATGTAATTATATTTATTTATACATAATTTTTAGTTGTATTAATTAATTTGCATATTTATTAATTTATTTACAAATTTCTCTGAACATTTTCATGACTCCCCTTGCACCGAAAGGCCCCAGTAAAATAAAACCCTGCTATAGTTGAAATAAAAAAAATAGCCATATGTTTAAGATTTTCCAAAATATAGGATTATACAATTTAACTTACAATCCTGAAATTCTTTTTATTTATTTATGTCTATCCATTTAGTAGTAGCCTCACTGGTGGTACACACACCCATAGACATCAAATAGGTAGACGCCCTCGACCGCTCCTGGCGAGAATTGGAGCCGCCATCTTAAACCGGTCATCCGCTCCGCTCAGTGCAATCTGAATGACAGGTGAAGAGCTGCCAGCGCATTAAATTAATCATATCTCACTGAATACTGAACTGATTTTCATGCGTTTTTTTTTTTTTTTTTTTTTTGCTGCAAAGGTCATTCATGTATGATACAGGACACATGGTTTGGCGCATTTTAATATCCATAGTAGGTTTAACAGTAGCCTAATATAATATTCTGAAATAAGATATAAAGTGACCAGACACATGTGTGATGAAGGATATAATGTATTTTATAAATCACACACTATAAATATAATAAAAAAGTAGAAACAGATAGTAGCAGTAAAGTAAGATATTTTAATAAGTTGAAGAAACAATTTATGATTTGTGACCTTTTTACAGTCACGAACAGACACACTCACACACGAACAGACACACTTCAGACACACTCTCTCACACACACTTTCACACGCATAGAACGCAGGAAACCGAATCCACCGCCACCTGTAATAAAAATTGAGAATAATCTTTTCAACGTGTTTGCATCAGTAATTTCTAAAAAAATTAATTCGGACAATAAGCCTATACCCTTTTTTATTGTATGTGGATGTGGGAGGGGAAATGCCTGAGACTAAAGCCCTATTCGGATTAACTTTACAAGGGTAGATGGAGTAAGTTAATAATGTAATTTTACCACAGGACTTCTGTAATATCAAATCGCATGTGGTAAGATATAGGTCATCAATAAAACTAGAAGTTGGAGGGGTAACACAATTTGCGCATCGCTGTCATGCGTGTATTACATTGCTTCCTGATATCATGTGCGCAAACACAAATATCCTAGGCTATACAGCAGGGAAGTTGAAAGGTTATCTGATAACCTAGAAGCTCTTGTAATTAATACTTTAACAGTTATCCCACCTTTCCATGCCGGGTGAACATCGGCGGATGCAGTAAACAACATTTCACAACGATTTCAGTACAGTAATAGCAAATATCCTTGCTCCTGTTCGATTATCTGGTAATATTCTATTCACAAAATACAACCAATAGTACGGTAATGTTAAGACTTACTTGTGAAAAGCCCTATTCTCGATGGTTCGGCGATTAGAAAAGGAAAATGCTCCACAATGCTCTGGCATCTTATCTGCTGCCACGCAACGGAACAGGGAATACGACCGGTTCAAGATGGCGGCCGGATTTCTCGGTTTTTTTCCAGCGGCCAATAGGGTATCTAGTCTCTGTAGTATGAATCTATGGTTGTCAAGTTGCTAATAGATCACCCCCATGGAACTGAGCAATAGTTTGTCCCAAAAACATGTGACCTGCATCACGTGATTGCATTAGCTGACATTTTCCTATGACATTTTCACAACAAACTGGTGAGTGGACTCTGATTCTCGTCAACTATGTTACCGGTCAACTATGTTCCTAAGAAATATCCATATAGGTCATGTTAGTCATAGACATAAATCACTATATTTTTTTTTATAGTTAACCTTGCTTGTAAGTTATAGGTTAGGTATATATAACTGTACTTGTCAGTATACTTTTTTAATTTTTGGGGTCAGTAAACATATTGTTTTTGAAAGAATTTAAAATATATAGCCTAGCTATATTTAAATATATTTAGAAATGTAATGTATTTCTGTGATACATTGTTGTTAATCATCACTTCAGTCTTCTGTGTCACATAATCCTTCAGAAATCATTCTAAATTTATTTGGTGCTTAAGAAACTTTAACTACTAATATTATCAATGCTAAAAATAGTGCTGCTCAATATTTTTGTGGAATCTGATATTTTTTTTTCAGGATTCGTTGATTAATAGAAAGTCAAAAATAACATTTATTTGAAATAGATACATACTGTCACTTTTATTAATTGAATGCATCCTTGTTGAATAAAAGTAATTTTTCGTACTGACCCCAAACGTTAGAATGGTGTCTTCACATTATACATGATCCATATGTAACAATCCATAATTTCCATGATTTTGACAGATGTCAGCAGCAGAGAAACAGCGAAGATACCGGGCTCGGCGGGATGCTGATCCCTCAAGAAGGGCACAATATTTAGAAAAGCAGAGAGAGGCATGGTACAGACTAATAAGACTTGGAAATGTGAAACCAATCACAGAGTTGAGTGAGAGGGAGAAACAAAGCAAAAGAGACAAATGGAGAAAAGCGCAACAGAGAAGAAGACAAAAAAAGCGAATGCTTGAAAACATAATTACTCCAGCAGACAGCCTTGAATTTGACCAGCCGCCTGAAGAATCAAGGTAGAAAGCTCTGTTTATGTCCTTTAAGATAAAAAAAAGTATTTAAATTCGATTTTTATTATGATATGCTATAATATAAATGTAGTCAATAGTGTGTCTGGTCGTGTGTGTGTGTTTAGACACTTTAGATTAGGGTATAATTCTCACTATTAACTAACTATTAACTATGACTTTTGTCTCCAAAAACTTCTAATGACTGCTTATTAATAGTTAATAAGGTTGTAGTGACTGTCTTAACATTAATCAGACACTCAGCAGGGTGAGGGCTAGATCCTGTTTTTGACGCGCTATTTGTCCACTTCGGATGAATTTAAAGTCCACAACGTTTAGCGTCTTTGGGTGGTGTTCCCATTTAATAGAAAAAATATAGTTTACAGAGTTCAAAGTATATGCAAACGTGAGGACTAATCTAGCTGTGGCGTGCCAGCGGTAAAAACCGTGTGATCTCCCCGCCACCCTAGCATAATTCCCCACCCGCTACACCTGTGTATTAATTAGCTGGCGCGCCTGTGCCACCGTGAACTTGGATACTGTAGCACAAGCACACTGCCCTCTAGTGTAGACAACCACCACAACATCAACAATAACTAATGGCTCCCACACACCGGCCCCTAATTGGGAAAGTGTGACCAATTAAACTGCAAAAACAGGGAGACACACAAAAAGTCTTCAGATCTTCTTTCTTCTGGATAGGATGTTAACCAACGTTGGGTCATGACCATTACACAGCTTCTTGCAACAGGAAAAGCTTGGAAATAGGGCGCTCCAACTGCCCTGTCTTAGTCTTCAACTGCACGGCACGTACAAAGCCCTTCTTGTCTGGGTAAGTCTTTGTCACTCTTCCCATAATCCATGATCCACGCGGAGCAGTGTGATCCATAATGATGACAATGTCTCCCATTACAAAACTTCTTTGCGGCCTCGCCCACTTTTGACGTTCCTGTAACAATGGCAGGTACTCCCTTATCCACCTTTTCCAGAACAGATCTGAAAGATACTGGACTTGTCTCCATCGTCTTCTAATGTAAAGATCATTCGCTTGAAAGATTCCAGGGGCAAGAACAGGTTTTCCTTTTAGCAAAAGAATGTGGTTAGGTGTGAGTGCTTCCAAGTCGTTAACATCGTCAGACACCTTGGTTATCGGACGGTCATTCAGAATAGCTTCCACCTCGCACAGAATGGTATGGAAGCTTTCGTCATCCAAAGACTGTTGCTGCAGAACAGAATACAGAACTCGCTTGACTATCTTAATGAGTCGCTCCCAAACGCCGCCATGATGTGATGCAGCCGGGGTGTTAAAAATCCAATTGATGCCCCTTTTTATGAGAGCGCCATGAATCTTGCTGTAATCAATGGCTGCTAAAGCTTCTCTTAACTCTCGCTCTGCACCAACAAAGTTGGTACCATTGTCTGATCGTAGACTGCAGATCTGACCTCTTCGACAAATGAATCTCCTAATAGCATTGACACAAGAATCCGTGGTCAGAGTGTAAGCAACCTCCAAATGCACAGCTCTACTGGCCATACAGGTGAAAATGACCCCATATCTTTTGGCCATAGCACGCCCTCTCTTGACTTCAATGGGTCCGAAATAATCCACCCCGACGTTGGTAAAGGGAGGCAGATCTGGACTTATTCTTTCACTGGGCAGATCAGCCATCTTCTGCTCACTTGGCTGTCCACGATGTCTTCTACAGACCACACACTCAGATATTATTCTCCGGCAAGCAGAGTTGGCGTTGGTAACCCAATACTTGCGCCGCAAAGTCGAGAGCATATGGTTCCGTCCAGCATGCCCAAGCTGTTGATGTATGGACCGCAAAATGAGACTAGATATATGTTGCCCCTTACAAAGAATCGCAGGATGCTTGAGCTCTTCAGGCAAAGCTGCACGGCCAAGTCTTCCACCTACTCTCAACAAATCGTCACTGAGCACTGGATCTAATTTGTAAATGTTGCTTGTTTTCTTCACAAACGATGCTCCACTTTTCAACATTGAGATTTCTTCCTGAAATGTTACTTGCTGACTGAAATGTATAATAGCAGCTTCGGCTTTAGAGAGCTCACTCACAGAAAGTGGTTGTTTACCAATTGCTCCTCTAACCTCTCTCATCCTCTCCTCCAAAGATGAGCCAGTAGGATCTAAAGAAGCCAGAATCAACTTCCTTTCTCTGCTCAGCTCCAAAAGAATAGATTTGAGCCTTAAGTACCAAGCCACAGAGACTTTAAGTTTAGACCAGTCAGAAAAGTAAGTCATGAGCTTAGAGGTCGCATCTTCTGTGTACGTAATCACGTTTACCAGGACGTCCCTTTTGACCTCTGGGTCGTCTAAAGAGATGGACTGCGGCTCCAAAGGTCTTGGCCAATCCTTTTCCGTTCTTTGGAGAAAGTCAGGACCCTCCAACCACCTCTTGCAGGCAAGAAAGTTATCCACACTCAGACCCCTGGAGGCTTCATCAGCGGGATTGTTCTTGGAGCTGATATACTTCCACTGGCTGAGACTTGTTGCTTCCCGTATTGCAGCCACTCTGTTAGCAACAAAGGTATGAAAGCGTTTCGTTTCATTGTTGATGTATTTCAACACAGTCTGACTGTCTGTCCAGAAGTGGGACTCCTCCAATTGCAGCAACAACTCCTTCTTCAACATTCTATCGACCTTAACAGCCAACACTGCAGCCGTGAGCTCAAGACGAGGGATAGTTGTCTGTTTTAATGGCGCAACCCTGGCTTTGCCCAACATAAAGGCAACATGCACTCGCTCCTCTTGACTCACCAGCCTTAGGTAGGACACTGTGCCATAACCATAGCTGCTAGCATCCGCAAAATGATGTAGCTGTGCACTGGCAGATCTTCCAAAGCCCCTTGGCTTGATACAGCGGCTCACCTTGAGCTTCACCACCTTCTCCAAGTCCGACAGCCATCCGGTCCATTGTTGTAGAAGTGTCTGTGGTATAGGCTCATCCCAAGACAAGTTTCTTCGGCACATTTCTTGCAACAGCAACTTTGGCAGCAAGGTGAAAGGAGATAAAAAACCCAATGGGTCATATATGGAACCAACAATTGATAGAATGCCGCGTCTAGTATGTGGCCGTCTTTCCACTGCAGGTTTAAATGTAAAAGTGTCGCTTTCAGCACACCAATTCAGTCCAAGTGCCATCTCCATGGGTAGCTGCTCTTGTTCCAGGTGCAGCTGCCTGGTTGTTCTGGATCGCTTTTCTTCAGGAATGGACGACAATACAACCCGACTGTTACTAGTCCATTTGAGCAGTCGAAATCCTCCCTTTGAGCACAACTCGGTGAGATCTGCAACCAACTTTATAGCCTCCTTCTCTGAAGGCAATGACTTTAAACAATCATCCACATAAAAGTTGTTGTATATGGTCTCAATCACTTCAGCTTGAAAGTCATCCTTGTTGTCTGCTGCAGTTCTCCTTAAAGCATAGCTTGCACAGCTTGGTGACGAGACAGCTCCAAAGATGTGCACCTTCATTCTATGTTCCAGTGGGCTTTGTGTCGTATCTCCTTCTGGCCACCATAAAAAACGAAGGAAATCCACGTGTCTTTTCGACACCCTCACTTGATGAAACATAGCCTGGACATCGGTCATCAGGGCGATGCTCTCCTGTCTGAATCTTGTTAAAACACCAAAAAGTGAATTGGTAAAGTCAGGACCTTGCAACAACTGATAATTCAAAGATGTTCCTTTAAATCCAGCTCCACAGTCAAAAACCACCCTTAGAGATTTCTTTCTTGGGTGATACACCCCATGATGAGGGAGATACCACACATGGCCTTCTTTACAATCCAGCTGGTCTTTAGGCACCACTTCAGCATATCCGCAGTCAATCATCTGTGAGAGAAACGCTGTGTACTCCTCCTGATA